GGCAGAAAAATATAGTATCTTTCCTAAGGTTATCTATCTTCCATTCTCTCTCTCTCTCTCTCACTCTGACTCTTGCTCTTTCTCTTTCTCTCCCTCTCTTCTGAACTGAATTTACTTTATTTATTTAGTGAATAGTTATAATGTACCACCTATGTATAAAAGGACGAAAAGCCAGGCACAGTTATAAGAATTTTACTCATAGTTGTCCCGGCCAGCGGGACAGCAACGTGGGAGCAAGGAGACACCTGGAAGGGAATGAGGGAGGACAGGAGACGCGGAGAAATGGAGGCAAGACAGGGTTCTGACCAAGCCTCAAATTTTATTGTTGAAGCTGCAATACACACACACACACACACACACACACACACACACACACACACACACAGGCTGTAGGGGGAAGTTGCCTCGGGGACATTCCAAGGCGGGGCAAACTATGGGAGGGAGGATCAGGGTGGGGACGTTGTAGGGATCTTCTGGAGCAGGATGAGTTGTTAAGGGATAAGTTATTTTTAACTTCTGGCCAAGCTGCAGGGCACCACGTGATCTCTGCTAGGAGGAACTAAAAACTTAATTCCAAGATGGAGTTGTATTTTCTAAGATGGAGTTGCTTGTATCAACTCTGATGGCTCCCAACACATAGTCTCTTCACAATCCTATGAAGTAAGTGTTACGAAGCGAGTCCCCAAGAGATGGACCACCGGAGCCAATTTGATTAAGCATGCTAGAATTTATTACAGATTCGAATCTGGACTCAAACCATGGCTGACGCAGCAGCCGGTAAACACCCAGGTAAGAGCCCCGATGGAGGGGCAGTCCCTCCAGAGCGCTCACACAAAAACACAGACAAACACACACCTACCGCGGCCAGTCAGGCTCTTCGGAATGGGGGTCCCTCATGGTCCTGGCTGGGGATTGCAGTCATGATCCCCATGGACCACCAGGGAGCCGAGTCCGATGCAATAAACAAAAGAGCCATCTCCATGCTAGCATGGGCTATTCCACTCATGCCGGAAGCATGGCGGAAGAGCTCGAATTTCGCCCAAACCAGGGGTTTTACTCAGGTCGGTGATGTCACTGCCTCGGCTAACCCTGATTGGCCCCTCAGGACTAAATTCTAAAGACTGGGGACAGCCCGCAGGGTTGGTTCCCAGTCACACCCTGCTTGACATTGGAATGTGGCCCTATCTTGCCCATAATACAAAAGCAGAATTAAAGGTTATCTACAGTTTCTACCCCTGAAGCTACTGAGTCAGTGGGAGTCAATCTCCTGCAACTACCCTATTGTTCAAGCAAGTAATCGAAGGTCGAAGTCAGATAGCAAGGTTAAAATTCAAACAGCAGTTTTTACCCAAGTATGAGTGCTACCATATTTCAGTAAGTTAACCATCTCAAGGATGAGGGCTTGAGAGAGGTTAAGGAGAGAGGTAAATGAGACAGCCAAGTTTCAAACCCAGGCAGTGTGGCTCCAGGGTCCATGCTCTTAATCAGGATGCTACATTACCCAATATTTTTCCTTGGCTATGCACATGGGTCAGAATCTACTACTAATTGAGTTGGTAAGGTTCATCAACTTGGCCTTTCCTTTCAAAAGATGTTTAAAGCTTTTGTTAGTATTGCCATTTTAACAATATTAGTTTTTCTCATCTGTGAACCTGGGATACTTTTCCATTTATTTGTGTCTTCTTTGATATTTTTTCATTAGTGTCTTGTCACTTTTAGAGTAAAGATCTTTTACCTCCTTAAATTTATTTGTGTTTAATTGTTTTTGATGCTATTGTAATTGAGATCCATTTTTCTCCCCAGAAAATTTGTTGTTAATGTAATTCTACTGATTTTTGTGTGTTAATTTTGTAGTCTACAATTTTAGTGAATTCACTGAGTAGACCTACTGGTTTTTTTGGTTGAGTCTTTAGGGTGTTATTGGTGTCAAAATCATGCCATCTGCAAATAGATAATTTTACTTCTTTCTAATTCTGATACATTTTATTTCTTTTCCCTCCCTGATTGCTGTGGCTAAGACTTCTAGAACTATGTTGAGGAAGAGTGGTAAGAGTGGGAACTCTTTTTTTCTTCCTGATTTTAGAAGAAGGGCTTTCAACCTTTCACCGTTGAGTATGGTGTTAGCTGTGGACTTGTCATGTGTGGCCTTTATTATGTTGAGATATGTTTCTTTTATGCCTGATTTTTAAAGAGTTTTTATGTCGAATGGATATTGAATGTTGTTGAGTGCTTTTTTGTGTCTGTGGAGATGACTGTATATATTTTTTTCTTTCATTCTAGTCAATATGTAACACATTGATTGATTTGCATATGTTGAAACATCCCTGTATCCTAGGAAACATCCTACTTGACCATGGTGTGTGATCCTTTTAATGCATGGCTGAATTTGGTTTGATGGTATTTTATTGAGAATTTTTGCAACTGCATTCATTTGGGAATTGAGCCTGTACTTTTCTTTTTTAACAGTAGAGTCTTTTTCTGGTTTTGGCATCAGGATAATTCTGGCCTCATTTTATGAGTTTGAGAGTGTTCCCTCCTCTTTGATTTTTTGGGAAGAGTTTGAGAAGGATTGGTGTCTATTGTATTTAAATATTTGGTAAATTCACCAGTGAAGCCATCTGTTCCTAAGTTTTTCTTTGGGAGGTTTTTGATTACTTTTTTAATCTCCTTACTAGTAATTGATCTATTTTGATTTTCTGTTTTTTCTTGATTCAGTCTTAGTAAATTGTGTGTTTCTAAGAATTTTTCTGTTTCTTCTAGATTATCCAGTTTGTTGGCATATGGTTGTTTTTTGATCCTTTGATTTATGTGGTATCAGTTGTAATGTTTCATTTTTCATTTATAGTTGTTTGGTTTTCCTCCTCCTTCCCTCTTGGTTACTCTGGCGAAGGGTTGTCAATTTTGTTTATCCTTTTAAATAACCACACCTTAATTTGGTTGATATTTTCTATTGTTTTTTGTTGTTGTTGTCGTTTTTCTCTATTATATTTATTTCTGCTCTAATCTTTATTATTTTCTTTCTTCTGCCAACTTTGGGCTCACTTTGTTCTTCTTGTTCTAGTTGTTTATGGTGTAGAGTTAGGTTGTTTATTTGAGGTGTTTCTTGTGTCTTCATGTAGGCATTTATTGCTATGAATTTGCCTTTTAAAACTGCCTTTGCTACATCCCACAAGTTCTGGTATGTTGTGTTTCCATTTTTGTTTGCATTCATAAATTGTTTTACTTCCCCTTTAATTTCTTTGATCCAGTAATTGTACAAGAGAGTGTTGTTTAATTTCCATGGGTTTATGAATTTTCTAGTTTTCCTCTTATTGATTTCTAGTTTCATGCCATTGTGGTCTGAGAAGATACTTAGTATATTTCAGTCTTCTTGAATTTGCTAAGACTTGTTTTGTGTCCTAACACTGAATCAGTTTATTCATCTCTACAATGAGGTTGAGGTTATATAATAACAACAACATGTATTGAACTTTTACTCTGTTTTCCACATGTATATTCTCAGAAACAGTCTCTGAAGCCCGTTCTGAAACCCAGTAGCATTCCCCAGGTAAGGAGTTAGTAAATGGCAGAGCCAGGATTTGAACCCAGCACTCTACATTACCGTTTCCTTTCAACTGTAAACTTCTGTACTAGAGGCAGCTGTCCCGACCAGCGGGAGATCAACGTGGGGGCAAGGAGGCACCTAGAAGGGAATGATAGAGGACAGGAGATGCGAAGAAATGGAGGCAAGACAGGGTTCTGATCAAGCCTCGAATTTTATTGTTGAAGCAGCAATATATATACAGGCTGTAGGGGGAAGTTGCCGAGGAGACATTCCAAGGCGGGGCAAACTGTGGGAGGAAGGATCAGGAAGAGGACATTGTAGGGATCTTTCAGAGCAGGATGTGTCGTTAAGCGATAAGTTATCTTTAGCTTCTGGCCAAACAGCAGGGCACCACGTGATCTCTGGTGACTGTGAGTTGTAAGAGGAGTTGGAAACTTAACTCCCAAGATGGAGTTGTATTTTCTAAGATGGAGTTGCTTGTATCAACTCTGATGGCTCCCAACAGGCAGCTACAATGTCTGAGTGAGCATATCTGTGTGGGGTTGCCATTCTGAAGGTTCATGATAGCAGGTCCTCTTAGAGGTGTCACTGGAGAATTAAACACTTTTACTCAGGAAAGCTGAGTGAGTTAATGGAATTAGTTTCTGACAAAACTTTTGATTTGATAAAGACTGGCCTATAGAACAGTATCAGGGCTTACATTGGAGGGACAGGCAGAGGATCAGCCGGCACAAAGGGTGAGGTGACTCCGGAGACCCTGGTGTTCCAGGCACTAAGGGAGTGAGGAGACCTTTGCAGAGGTCATGGTGCTCAATTGTGTTGAACACGGCTGAGAGTTCAGACAAAATTTGAACCGACAAGCCCCAGGAGATCTATCAGTAGAACGCCGGCTGCTTCCCTAGTGTCTGAAATCACATCAGTCATCTCATTTTGTTTCTATTTTAAAAGGTTTCCCAGGAGTTATCCTTTAATCTTGTCCACAGATGGGGAATGCATCCTCTTTTGGACCCCCGTGTGCATTTCCTGCTCCACATGGCTCATGGAAAGTCCCTTGTCACTGAACTTAACTACCTGAGAGTTAAACCACCGCAGAAATGCTTTTTTCTGCTGCTACTGAATATCTCTAGTCTCCACAGTTAGCCACCTTCTGCAACTGGATGTTTAAATCAATCAATAACTCTGCAGTTGCGATGATGCTTTTTGCCTTTGGACGTATTTCACCTGTCTCTGAGAGCTGATGTATTTTTTTTAAACTTCTTTTTATTATAAAAAATTCCAGTCATGCATTCTGGTGGCTGGAAGAGTGAATTAATAGTAGTCTAATCACCCTGGAGACACAGATACTTTTGTGAGTTGGCACTGAGGTAAGACTGCACATCTCTGTGGGGATGACAAGTGAATGAGTCTGCTGCTCACTTAACCCGGTGTTCTTTTCTCTCTCTATTTTCTCTCCTAGGAAACAGATGGAAGACTGCTGTGACCCCGCCCATCTCTTCGCTATGACTAAAATGAATTCCCCCATGGGGACGAGCATGTGGTATGATGGGGAATTTTTATACTCCTTCACCGTCGACAATTCAACTTATTCTCTCTTCCCCCAGGTTAGTATAGAGTTTGTTGCCTCCCAATATAGTCTTTTACATGTCTTGATTTTTATAGGGAAGGTGTAATTGAATTTGCCTATCTAATCAGGTATATTTTTCATCTTCTTTTCATAATTTTAAATGTTTTCTTATAGTTGTTATTTTTGTGTGTGGGAAGGAATCACATGGTATTTTGATGCAAGAGCAGAGTAGGATACTATAGAGTAACATGTTCTCTTCTGATTTGAGTGATATGAGTCTGAAGGAAGCAGAGAATGAAAGTAAGAACAGGGAGTTGTGGTATTTCAGAGTTGTGAGGTTGGCTGTAATATGGTCTCAAAGATGTGCAGCACTGGAATGCTGTTTTAGGGTTGATGTTGCTCTCAGGGAGTAGGGACCATAGGGTCAGAAATTTGCTTCTTAGAGCTCTTGAACCTTCACCCTGTTGTTAGGCTTATTGCTGTGGAAGTAGAGGAGTGGTGGATAAGGGAGAGAGAGAATCTGGCCACACTCGAAGTGGTCTAAAACAAGCTCAGCCTATTTAATGTTTTTCTTCTTGGTTTCTTGAGCATTGAAATTAAATGTTTTACTAAATTATATCTATGTAGCCAGTGGGGGGGAAAGGAAATCTTTTTGGGGAGCCCTTGTTGGAGAGAGAGTGGATCTTAGGTGAAATGGCCATCAGGGAGAAACGGAGAAATAAATCTTGGCCTCTCCAAGTCTTCTAACTACTCTTGGTTTGTCCACTATGGTTATGCAGAAGGAGCAGTCATGGTCAGAGTTGGCAAATGGGACTGAACCTCTCATGTATCTGTATTAACAGCAAAGCGTCTTCAAAGGGGGGATCCTGTGAAAACTTGAGGCACAGGCTCTGCTGGATCCAAAGCCACTCTTTGTGAAATAGAGTGGCTATTTCGTCCTTAGGTGTTTCGGTTTACTTTAATGATATGATTTTAGAGTGTAATGATGTTTTATTTTTCAGTAAGAAATAGGAGGTTTGACCATTGCTAGCATCTGTGTGCTCTCTCCCCTCTTCATTTACCCTTGGGAGGCTTTCTAGAGGCAAAGGAAAGGATTAAGAGTCATAACCACAAGCTGTCCTTGAAAGGAATAGAATATTGTATGTGAAATGTAATTTAACAAGAAGAGTTATAAAACTTGGGGTTGAGTTTTGTCTCCATCTCTTACTAAGTAAATGTCTTGCTGAGTCACCTAACTCTTCTGAGACTCAGCTTTCTCATCTGTGCAATGGGGAGAGGAGCCCCTGTCCCAGCACCTCTCACACTCGTGGTCAGGATTAATGTAAACAATTTATGTACATATGCTTTGTAAACTGCAAAGCACTGTGTAAATGTTGGGTATTCATGCTGTTCTGGTTCATATATTGCATCATCGGATGAGGGAATGGAAACTATAATTATATTAGTCAAGGTTTAGGCAAGGAACAGAAATCTTCCTAGCTATTTTTGCAGAAAGTTATTTCATATGGAGAATTAGGCACTTAAAAAATCATCAGGAGAATAAAGATGTGGGAGTCACGAGTCAAGGTGTGGCTCCTGAAATTGCTTAGTTCAAGAACCTGATGCCCCAACTTTGGTTTAGGAGTTAGAAAGCCCCAGCTGCTGTTGCCATTTGTGTGGCCCAGAAATAGGGTCAGGTTGATGGGTTCTAACTCACTCCCTGCTTTCAAATCTCCCTCAAGGGCATCTAATGGGTAAGATGAATTTGCATCTGGAATAGTAGTTGCTTAGCAGTCCAGGAGAGGCAGTTTTAAAGGAAGCTTCAGCAGGGAGCTAGGAAAAGGGTGGAATAGAGGACAAACAAGCCAATCCACAATATCCCCTGTTCATAACCCAGTATCAACTGGCTATGAAATGAAGAGGGATAAGGAAGCAATTGCTTTAACAGCTCATCAAATAGAATTAAAGGAGGAAAAGAATTAAAGAAGTCCAAAGTAGGCTTTGTATACATCACATGTGTCAAACACAAGGCCCGCGGGCCAAATCCGTCCCTCCAGGCCTTGCAATGTGGCCCGCACCGCGCTGTCATCACTGCACTCCGCTGCGTTTCCATCACAATGACAGTTTATGACTGTTCAGTAAACCATTCGGCCTGCGATTTAGGCTGGATTTTAGATTTTGGCCCCTTCTCTGATTGAGTTCGACACCCCTAGTATACATGAAGGCTTCTGAACCGACTCCACGCTGGAAAACAGATTTGAAGAAAAGACGGTTAAAGAAATAAAAACTAGTCTCCCACTTACCTGTCAGGTGCAGCCATAGGATAGTAGGAAACATTTCCTTTTTAAATTATGTGCACAGAATTCTGTGCCTCTTTGTGCCAGTAAAACCATTTCTTTCTTACTTAATTGAATTTTATTTTCCATCACCATTTCTTAATGATAAAAAAAAATGCTTTTTTTCTTAGAAAGCAGAAGTTATGACATCACTGTGTGTGCTTGCATTCAACACAGTGAACCAGTTCAATGAGTAGATTTTTAAAATAGTTGCGTGTATATTTCTGCTGAGATTCTGAAATGACTAATTTATAGAAATCCTGGGAAATCATTTTGCATCATCAGAAAAAAATAGTATATACTCTCAGCACATTATATTTCTTAGTGAAATATTTCTAGTTTGTTATCAGGAAGCTAAGTAGCCAGTTCATTGATGTGTTTTCTTCATGTTCCCTGTGGGAAGGAAGTTGTATGTATGCCCATCAGATAGAAAGGCAGGTGAGTGGGCGAGGCTCAGAGTTGTCAGTTGAACAAAGTGTCCCTTCTTGCTATGAGTTTCGGCAAAATTGTGCCATATCACTCATTCTCTAACTCAGATGTATAATTTTATAGTACACCTTTAATTATATATTTTAATGTATTTATTTTAATTATATGTTACACTTTTCCCCTAAATGCTCAGTATATATTAGCCATCATCATTATTGTTTTTATTCCTTTGCCTACATTTACCCACTGTTGTTGTTATTGTTGCCAACATGCAGTACAAGATGCTCTATGGGCTGTGGAAAGTTAGCAGGTGCTGAATCAGTGCTGGAGGGGCCAGGAGGGTCCCACTGAGATGATGTGCACTTGGAGATGCTGCACTGAATCTCCAGAGTTGCATTTAGTAGCTCTTATATGGATCTCTCATGACTTCCCATAACTTTGTTACTAAACTTAGTCAATTCTGCCTCATACGAATTTATCTATGTTAACAACATACAATGGTTTTCTTAAAAATCCTTCTCTGCTCATCTCCATACCTCTTGTGAGCTTTTGAGAAACAAGAACAACTTTTCATTTCTGTGCATAATGCAGTGCTTCCCACTGAAATGGATGTTCATTTCCAGGGGCTCATGTTTGCCAAGGGCTCCCTTTCATAGCCCACCTGGGCTGGACATACTACACAAGAGGCCAAGCAGGACATACAGATGCAGTTGTTTCCAAGAGGGTTTATCTTTTGATGAAATCCTATATAATAAAGAACTAATATGCAAATGGTCCTCACGCCCTCACTCCATCACACCATAACTGCTCAGACACTCAACACTGAGGAGAGAGGAATGGGGACCAGCCAGGCACAAATGAGCCCGATAGAGAGGAATGGGGGCCAGCCAGTCTGCAGCCTGAGAGAGAGAGACAAGCCTCCCACCCCATGGTCTCAGACACCAGCGGCTGTGTCTTTGTCCCGGGAGAGGGACTAGCTTTCTGCCCCATGGTCCCAGGTGCCTGCAGCTGCGGCTCAGGCAAAGCTGCTTACCCACGGTCCCTTGTGGGTGTGGCCAGCCTGGATGAAGCTGGCCTGTATCCTGGGTGCCTGTGGCTGGCAAGAGGGAGGGAAGCCCAGGTCCTGGGTGCCTCCGACTGGCCAGAGGAGGGAAACCTGAGTCTTGGGTGCAGGGTGAGGCAGAGGCAGTTAAGCGTGATCAGGCCAGCAGGAGAGCAGTTAGGGATGATCAGGCAGGCAGGCAGGTGAGCGGTTAGGAGCCAGCTGTCCTGGATTGCAAGAGGCAGTCAGATATCCCCCAAGGGGTCCAGATTGGAGAAGGTGCAGGCTGGGCTGATGCCCCCTCACCCCCAACTCATGCACTGGGCCTCTAGTATTTGTTGAATATTATTAAGCATGAGGGCAGAATTTTAACCCTCAAATAGGTTTTCTAGAGTATTTTATGTGTGTTGGGGGGGAGGGGGAACAATGTGATGATCTTTCTACTTTGAGACTCTCCCCACCCCCTGAGATGGGGTCAGCTCCTTCCTCTTTTGCTAAAAACAGTCCGTTTTAAGCCTGCATGGTCTCATGTTTGTAGATATTTCTGAATAAATGGTATTTGACCTAAAACATTTATACTCAGAAAGAGCATAAATTACCTTAGAAATGAGTGCGGGAGGAGCAGGAATGTTAGAAACCACAAGAGTGCTGATATAATTTGAAAAATATTTCCTTTTGGTGTAATAAAAACACAGTTGGCTCATCATTCTCTTACATTTTGCTGAATAATCATGTGATCTAAATCACAAACTAGTAATTTTTTTTCTCAGAATAGCTATCTAAGGCCATGTATAAAGAATCACAAAACATCCTTTAATGCATCCCAAATGGACACTCATTTCCAGCTCTTCTGGTTGCTATAGCTCCCTGACATATTCCATTTAGCCTGGACCCACAGTGCTCTTGGTCCTTAAAAACCAAGCAGGAACGTTTCAAAGTAGTTTTTGTTGAAGTGATTTTGTTATAATGAAAATACACATTTTCTCCCCTTCACAGTGATGTGCTCTCTAGAATCCTTTCACCTCCTGCATATATACCCGAATCACACAGCAATTTTTTTCCCTAAGGAAATTTGGATCGTCTATATTAGGGGTGTCGAACTCAATCAGAGAAGGGGCCAAAATCTAAAATCCAGCCTAAATCGCGGGCCAAATGGTTTACTGAACAGTCATAAACTGTCATTGTGATGGAAACGCAGCGGAGTGCAGTGATGACAGCGCGGTGCGGGCCACATTGCAAGGCCTGGAGGGA